GCCGGTGAGTGTATATAGGGGCCATTTTAAATAAGTGTCTGAATGGCTAGTGGATGAAAAAGTAGTGGACTCAAAATTTCCCACAATGCACCTTGAAAAGTAGTGCACATACATGGTGACTAGATGAGCAGATATATCCTGGAATGCTTTGTAAGAGCTCTTCTTGCAGAGCATCATGGGATTTGATTTTGGGGTGAGAGAGAACAGAGATGGCAAAGGAACCATGCAGAGAGTCTGAGTCATGTGACCAACAGGGAGTGAAAAGTAGTGATTATCTGTCCAAACAGTCGGTTATCTGAGTTCACCATGAAGTCATTTGGACATTTGGACACAGCCTTGTATCAGCATGCTAGCTCCAGCTCCATCTGCCTTTCTGTGGGACTGCCCGCAAACCCACTTTAAGTGTTTTGCCGCCACCTAAAGGGCTGGAGTGAGAAATTTAGTAACTTATTCCTGTTAAATGTGATGTAGCTAAAATGTCTCTGCAATTTAAAAATTCAGATTTGTTATACTATGTTTATTGCGAATGCAATGAATTGCCCAGCCCTGACCGTGACCCCCCCCACCCAGGGAAGTTTCAAACGAAAGGTTTGCTGCTCCACCCAGCTTGTGTGATGCTGTACCAGATACTGACAGCCTGGATGCATCCATATACATCTAAGATCAACAATGAACTTCAGACAAAAAGAAGAATAAACATTTTGTATCCCACTTTTAATGATGACATCTATGGCTGCCTTTTCATGCTACCATGAAAATATGACTGAAGCAAATAAAAAGCCATACATTCTGTCGTCTAACAATGTTAGCTCCCTTTATTATCTTCTTTCTTTCATTGTTTCTCCTTTTTCCTGTTTTTCCTGTTCTACTTACATTGCAGTGTCCATATAACCTGCAATAGTCCCTGCATAATTATAATAAAGCTAAATACATGCATACCGGTAAGTTAACACTAATGGTGATAGCCATATCGCTTCACTTGTGAAAGCAAAATCTGTTGGGCCCTTTTTTGGCATTAAAACAATTATTCTTTTTGCCACATTGCCAGACAGGACAATGAAAAAAAAAAAAATGAAAAATGTGATCAGGCGTTTGCTGATTTTTGAAGTGTCGCCTAAAGGGCTTGACTGACTTTTGATGTGCTCTGCAGTCCATGACTCTCTTGTTTTGGCTGGTTTGTTGCCCTTTACTCTTTCAGTTTTTTTTCTGATGATGTTTTAAGTCTGGACATATTGTTTTATTACTTTAAACTCTAAATCTTTCCTCAACTTTCTCCCTGATCTGTCTGCTGTGCATCTCGTTATTCATCTTCTGTTTGTTCGTTATTAATAATCCTATGAAGCCTCTCTATGTTGTACGGAAGAGGATTAGGGCCACTGGAAAAAAAAAATAAAATTAACTGATTGTTAAATTT